GGTTGTAAGGCACGTTTCGCAGAAGTCGTTATTGTTGGGCCACCCTCCAGTAATTTCACCCTCTCATCGAACCCCTTTCGCGTCGCCCTTGTATTGCGATGGCGATCATTTCCTGTTTGCTTCTTGTATCGCAGGAATATAATTGCATTCATATCTAGCGTTAAAATGTCAATTGATTGAAAGAAATAATTTTTTAGTAGAAAGCGATTTGGTGCGATTGAGAAACTTATTGTTAGTTTTGTCGGTTCAAGAAAAACGAGTCGATGTTGTCGGATAATAATCTTAAAAGACATCCGTGAAGAGGGGTAAATGAAACTGGAGTGGCCAAGGTAAGGTTGAGTTACCAGTTACTTCCGAGATAATAGTAAGCCGGTCGGGCTCTCATTTGGCCTTTTAAATTTTAAAGAGACCTATGAAAGACTCCGGCCCTTTTTGCGCTGCCATCATGAAACCGGGTCTTTAAATCTTCTTTTCGTCTTCAGGCTTCTTTTTTGTGAGTCGTCGCACAGAGGGATAAAATTCAAAAAAACTTGTAAAAAAAATGATCTTTCACATCTTACTTTGAGACTCATATACTGGATGATTATGTATATACCTTCACTGAGAGAAATATTTTTGGTATTTGTAACTATAATTACATATCACACTATAATTATGATTATTACTACTATAATAATAGTAACAGTAAATGTATATAGTTGGCAACCTAAAATGACTACAATTATAGTTGTAATTTCAACTACAATTATAGTCATTTTAGGTTACCAACTATATACATTTACTGTTACTATTATTATAGTAGTAATAATCATAATTATAGTGTGATATGTAATTATAGTTACAAATACCAAACATTTTTCTCTCAGTGTTATTTTCATATGTCGCTACTTTTATTCCATAGGATATAGATTATATATACTATGAATTTATTCAAGGTTATCTTTATACGTGTATGTGTGCATATAATTGTTGTATTTTATACAACGTTAATTTCAAGTTACCAATTTAATATTTAAGACTAAAGTGTATACCTATAAACGGCGATTTTCAATAAGATTTTTATTTGTTTCTGATACATCAGTATATAAAGTATGTAATATTTTACGCTAAAAATGCAGAAATCAGAATTGAATATTGTAAAATTATAAGTATTAGTTGAATTTCGGTCAGCTTTTTTCGAATCCTACTCGAGTGCGTATCGCGTGGGTTTCAGGTTCAGACGTGTGTGTCAAAGGGCTGATTGTGAATGAGAGGGGTCGTTCGCGTGATCCCTGGCACACGCCTACGCGCACACGCACAATGCGTTTCTTTTGGTCCGCGCTCTTCGTCAGCTTCCGTGCGTGTCTTTTGGCGACACCGTCTTAATGAAAGAATTCATGCCTCGTCAGACACGAGCGGCGAAATTCTCTTAATTGACGATACAGAACAAAATTTTATATTCTTTTATTTCCATAAAATAAAATTTTCCCGACATTTTGAAACAAGATATATAAGAGGATTAAATATCGAGATATAATTTTTACAAAAGAAAAAGTATAAAATTATTTACAAATAAAATTAAGTCTTACCTTAAGAATTATCAAGTTGTTTTATATTGAAAATTAAGAAAATGCAATCTTCAAAGCTTTTAGCAAGAAATAATTCAATTTCGGCAATTTTAAATCGATTTCAAAAGAGTATTGCTGAGTGTCGTGTCACGATTTATTTTATGTATTTGTAAATATATGTATACATTACGTACCAATGGAGATACCCTCTCATGCAATCTATAATACTGATATTACAGAAGATATCGTAAAAACAGTGTGATAAGCGCCTATTATATTGTAAGTGTTTCAAGATAAATTCATTAATAATAGATTGTTAAAAGAGACATGAAATAAATTCACGCGTGTCCACGAAATAGATACCAGTTTCCAAGTTTCCATCGTGCGGAATAATGTACGTGCGATCTGTGTCGTGTGTATATCGTCGTTACTACTGTCGCGTCGTCATCGCGACAAAAGTAATCGCCAGTATTACCTCATCAATCCAGTAAAGAACATGTGTATAATATGGCCGTCCGCTTCCAGCGATGACGGCACTCCTTTCCTCCCGTTGAATTCGCACACCGCGACCGGTCGGCTGAACAAAAGAACCCCGTCCTAATTCGACGCGAATTAAAATATGTTTCAGCATTTCATGGGATCGCGTGATTCCTGCTTAATTGTCTCTTAAACTACAAATAGTACATGTAACATGCAATTGAAACTGTTATTACTTCTCCCGCAATTACGTAAAAACTCCAGTAAACTTCCAGTAAAACATACAGAACCCGCATTAACTTTATTGATGGAAGATTAACGTGCAAGAATCGCGAAACTGTGCAATGAAAACCGAACAATAATCATGATAAATCTCGCGCGCTGAATTAATTGCGGTTCTTATAAAAACGCCCTACAAATACTCGGTGCACAAAGTTCTGCCGCAGCAGATTTATCGGCGCGTATATCTACCGGAGCAAGTTGTACACTTGCTTAAAATTGCTAATGAAGGTATTATTATTGCCTTTCTTTCTTTTTTTTCTATCGTGCTACTTTTATATTTGAATGCTTTTTATCGTTGTGACTCGTGACTCGCGCTTATTAATCGCCTTTACTCGATCGCCGAATCACTAGACCATAGTAAAAATAGTGTAGAACTGTTACGTTATCTAATCAGCAAGAGGCTTGTCATGATCATTGATAATTTCGTGCTAAAAGAATCACAGAGATATTTTTTATTTAAAAAAGATGAACATTTTTTAACTGTTCCGCTTTTTTCAAATTGAAATTGATAGCTAGCCGTCCACAGGTATGTGTGTTTCGGATTTTTTTTCATTTAAATTTCGCCTTCAACGCGTTTACTTGTTACGCGGATTGAGTGGCAAATCAGAAATCGTCGCTTCGTTGACCTGACTCCTATTAGCCAGTTTACGAAGCTCTTAAAGAACCCTCCGGGAGCTTCAGAATGTTAACGACAATCGTTTTCTGCGGCATTGATTCCGTACAATTGTGTCTGAATTACTATTTGTCCAATGCTGTCGAATGAGGCCGCGATTACGCTCGGCTCGAGTTGCAGGCACCATGATGCAAATTCTGCAATCTACGAAGCGTGTCGGTCAGGGTCGCTGCTCTTATATAGCGCTGCTTTAAAGCTCCTTCTTTTACATAGAATATTTGTCTTAAACCTTTTCTATGATTACACTAATAATTACGTCGCATATTTCGTACATGTTATAAAATAAATGTATAATATTGTAACATGTCTCTTACCTCTTTTTTTGCGGTCCAAGAATACATCTGATAAATTGATTTGAATAGCAATTTTTCGAATTAAAATCGAAGAATGGCTCGATAGATTTTTTTGTCTTTGTTAATACATTTTCGAGAAATCTCATCGACAGTTGCATCGAGAATATCATTTCGCAGAAGACAGAAAGCTTTAATTACGTACGTACAATTTGTAATTCTGAAGAGGGGGTGAGTAGACCTGCAACACATTTACACGATGCGCGTCAATTCATCTGCAAAATCTCCAATAGTATCATTAGCTACTTTAAGGAGGTTGTAAGGGCATAAAACACATATATTAATATTTTCGCTTTAAACAAACTACATACATGTGAAAGTTGTGTTCATAACATTCTGGTTTTATTGAGCAACACATTTTTATAGGTTATTTATTTTATTTGTTATTAGTTTTATTGTTATAAACAAAAATTGTTAAAATAATAACAAAAATTTAAATGTTTTTATATAAATATATTAAGTACTAAACATGACTTATGCAAAGTTTCATTGAGATTCACCATTAATTTATAACAAATAACAAATTTTATTTGT